AAATAAACATTATTGCACTCGTTTTGTTTAACTGTACCGAAAACACTTCTTCCTCTTCTTGCGCGTAACGTTCTCTTCGCGTTGCTGCCATTTTTCTTTACTTGCTGCTCCTCTATGTAATGTCTAATTTCTCCTTCAATAAAATACTCAAACATGGATTTATTTTGAAAAATATGACGGGATAATATGTAACATTTAGTGGTGATCTTGGACAATCAGGTATCTCTCACTACTAGAACCTAATGGATGCAAGAGAGTGATTCCATTCGCTGTGACAAAGTTGATCGTGGCTAAACGATTATGGATAACGGGAGGGAAAGGGCGGATGTTAAAGAGATTGCTGAAAGTAAATTAAGGAACAAAAATTGGAAATAATTTATAACAAATAATATACAACCTAAGGTATATTATTATTATTATCATGCACATTGAATCAAGTAACTCATTCATCACCACAAAACGTACAGTTTGATGAAGAGTACAGTTTAGAATTAGTTGATATTTGTAGGTGTCCGGTATTTAATCAAAGACTGTTTAGAATTTATACTCATACATCAGGTGAGGTCATTGAGATCAGACGTACAAGGTAAAGATGACTAATCAGTTGATGATGTGGTGAATTTTCACTTACTTTGGTTGCTTGAATGATGAATTTTGTGAGGCTAACCACTGGTTGCTTTGAAGAGTAAGATAAGTACATAAAGTCACTGACTCTTTGACTGATCTATGTTGGTAGGTGTAGACTATCCGGTTTCAGTCTGTTCAATGATCACTTCTAGTGCCGGGGGATGTTGATCAACGTGACTCAGAATAATTGGCCGCAATTAAACAAATATATACAATTTTTATTACATGATAGATCACAGATACACTAGGATTCTTGTCCAGTCAACCGATCAGTTGGAAACATAATGAATCATACTTCCACCATTCCATTGCTTACCATAATTCATCATTTCTATCAAATTAAATTTATTCTACAATCCCAGGTTTATTGTGTGGAAAGGTTTGAAATCATTCCAGCACCAGCTAGATGTTTTTTAGTGTACATTAAACATGAAACACCAATCATAAATCACTCACATCTTTGTCAATGTTGCAACAAAATATTCAATTGAAGTTTAGCAATGAGCATAGACACATACACACAAAAGTGCAAGAAAATAATAAATTTTTTGTGTAGACTTTGGAAATTCCTTTGCTTGTACAGTTTAATAGTTCAACGATACAAAAAACATACTATGGATTAGTCTAATAAAGATAACAAACCATATTTATCAAATCAACCAATCAACACAATCACCATACTACTGCTACTATTATAATACTACTATTAATAATATTATTATTGATACTAATACTATTATAGACGGTGACCAAAACCTAACGAACTAAACAAACTCTTAGCAAAACAAAAGAAAACACAAAAATCCGCAAAACTTACACTGAAGCTGACTTAAATGTGAATTGACAAATTGAGCGTAACGATTAGCAATTGTTTTATTCTCTGGATTATAAAATAATGACATTTATGGTAAACGTTCTTCAGTGATTTCTTCTGCATTAGTAAATGTGATTTCACGTACTAGACTGATGCATTGATTCTTTACCCAATTGTGTTTTGCCGTTAGATCGGCTTTTTTCAAAATAGTAACAGATCTAACCAGAGCAATTGAACAGGTACATTGAAATTTTTTAAATGAGTAGTACCCCAGTCAAATTATGACATCTGTTTCAGGCTCGGAATGTCGCAAAAAACAAGACTTCCATTGATGGTAACTAGACTAAGTACAGGTTGCCGAAGAAATTATTCTTGCATTTGATAGACCTTTGTTTAATCTGTTCTCTCAGGTCCGAGCGAAGCATAACAAACCGTGATTCATAAGAGCGGCTTCTTGAACATCATGTAGTTTCTGAGCTGGCAGGTGGTAGTTTTGATGATGTTCAGGGACATGAAATGCAATACTGACAGTGGCTATAACTTAATGTAGGCCTTCACGTAACCGAGGCCATTAGAGTCTCTCGAATTCCTCGTTCGCTACTTCTACCAACCATTAGGTCCTGATGCAAAAAAGTACATCACCAGGAGTGATCTCTAGTCCCATAAGGTGCCATGAGAGCTGACCTTTATCAGTGAGACAACAGGAGGACAAACGAATGCACAAAATAAAGTCGGTAGACCCTGATCGACAATCCATGGTACAAGTTACAAACACCACGTTCCCTTCAACTAAATACACTATACAATCAAAAAACCTTCAATAGCCATTTCTTACAGAACTGTTCAACCCGTTCTGATCAAGTTCTTTAAGAATCCAAGGACAGATAGTGCTATAGAAGCGTACCAAGTGGTGAGGCAAAACATCTGTGGCCTCTTTATAAATGTAAAATGAGTGAGGGTTAAATAGGGAGAAATCAGAGACATGGTCTTACAAAATGTACCTTCAGAGAATCATACACCTGGAAAGAGTAAAACAGCCGTTAAATGAGGCACAGGCAAAAGGGGAGCCTGGCACAAGGTCTCTCTGAAGGATTCTAACGGTAGTTTCTATTTATAATTGAGAAAGAAATACTACGCTAAAGTTCGAAGCTTCCGAGCGAAGCTAGCTGAAGGAATACAGACAAATCCAAAATATCTCCTTAGATTTAAGACTGAAAGAGGACCAACGAACCAAGGTGACTGCGCTGTCAAAGGTCTAAATAGCGAGGATTTTATCAACTTAGAGGTGTCCGTTTTCATTGTCAACTTCATCGACTTGTTAAGCGAGGTATTCACATGCTTAGGTCAATGCAGAAAATATGTTTTTGCGATTTGGTCATTTTGATCTTGCCTGTAAATTGGAATTTCTTTTGTAACATGTTTTCATTTGGGAATAAGTTATTATCATTATACTGAAGTGCAGTGCCAGCCGATGGCCAGGGCAATATGAGACTTACTCCCAGCTTAGTACTAAGAAAGCCCTAATTCCTGACCCTAATAAAGTCGTCGGGATGTAACAACATTCACAGTGTGCAGAAGTGTGTGACCTGTTCAGGCTCTCACTGGAGTCACATCAACTCTACCTGATTGGAAACAAGGTAATCTCTATCCTGTCTTCATAGGAGGAGATAAGAAAGATCCAGCCTGCTATAACCCACTCACATTACTACCACTACTGTCGAAGGTAGTGGAAAGACTGATGAATGAACGAATGAGTACATGGATAGAAAGCACATACAGGGTTTAGGAAAAGCAGTCCATCCACATTCAATGTTCTGATAGTGTAGGACCAGTAGATTGCCTCTTGGTACGAAAAAATGCCTCCTCATATAACCATTCCTTGAATTTGCGAAGGCTTTCGACACAATAACCCATGCTCTTCCAACAGAGAAGACTGTAAAGATAGCCTTCTATGATTCTTTACTTTCTTGGATCTGAAAGTGCTCAGAGAACAGGAAGTTTCGTACCACACTAAATAAAGTATATACAAGTTGGTGAGTCTCAAAATCAGGAGTTTCGTAATGGAAATCTTAGATCCACTACCCTTCCTGATTTTTACCAATGACTTTTGAGATAAAAGCAGTCAAGCAGCACAAAACTGTGCAGATGATGCAAAAATGTAGAGTTCCATAAGGAACAAAGAAGATTTATTTGAGCTTAAAAATGGCTTTAAAACCAAAGAAGAATCGGTAGTGGACAACAGGTTAAACCTTAACCAGTTGAAATTTCGCGTCTTGAAGATTCTTCTCCATGTGCCACAAAAACTTCCGTCTTCTATGGAGGTCCACCAGCAAATGTCCCTTCAGAGTACCACCTCGAACGCCGGCTCAAAATACATAGGGGATAGAGCCAGGGCAAAAGCGATTCTTTACTTTATGCGAAGACAACATCATGCAATCTCTTCAGAATTGTTCCTAGCTCCTCTTAAAACATACGCACGGTTTCGTCATCAAGCTCACAACAGTGTTATCCCACTCCTTAAAACTGATATCAGTCTCTTAGTTGGAGTGCAGAGACTAGCAACCAAGTGGATGATAGGATTAAAAATAAACCTTACAAAAACCATCCCTAATACATGGGATTGTTTTCGCTGAATTATAGGAGAATAAGAAAAGATGTGATAAATGCTTATAAAATTGAAGTAAGGAAAGTTACCTCAGCATGAGCATTGTAACCGAACAGCACCACTATTCTCCCCGAGGTGACCGTCGAAAACTTCGATATCAAGAAGCGAACGCCCGGATACGCACACGCTTTTTATCACTAGGAGTTTTCCTAAGTTAGAATTTTCGCTCAGCTGAGGTGACCACAGCTTCAGAAAGAAACTTGATAATACTTAATTACTGATAGAGTGTCATCCCTCTCTTGGACCAGGTGTGTCTGGTTCATGTCTCGGAACTTGATTGTCGTTATTCATATCACTCCCTAGATCACTACTTTATTTTACCAGTTCCGTTTCCCTTTTTATTCCTACGCTGTGGTCTTCTCACATTGACCGCACTAACAATTGATTAACGTATTTATCTACTCACGTAGTTCTGGAACCTTTTTTTCCTTAGCGTTAGAGCTTCCTCTATAATATTTTCCACATTCTTACCAGCTGACTTCCGGCTTGGTAATGCGATAGCTGCTGATATCCAGAAACCCTACTGTCCTGAGACAAAGCACCCACTGAACTAACAGGACATACAAATTCTTAAATTACTGTCAACTATCAGGGATCAATGCTCGAGACTGGCTGCAATTCAGTATACATTACAAGAAGCCTGAAACTGTACCGTAACGACACGAAGAGAGCGTGAAGTAATTAGCTGTTTTACAGGACCTCGTGAATAAGATATTGGATATTGTCTGACCAGTATGAATTCAGTTATATGACTAATTTTTCCTCTTATATCGGACTGATGATTTCAGATGAAACTTTTATAAGTTTTGAAAATCGAGATCTAATTGTTTACGCCTGGAGGTATATTTACACCGATGTATGTTTGAATCAACTGAAATCTTATTCGTCACTTGAGACACTGTTTCGAAAAGCAACTCATTTTGTAAATGTGTATGTGGTGGTTCGTGTTATCTATCGTCCTGCTTACGGTATGTATGTTTAAAGACGTTTTGGTTCATTTTAAGTTTTGTTAACAGGTAGAAGTTTGTATTTATGTCTCGTGTACCTTTTATTGTGTAAAACGTGTAAAGGATTTTATTCATATCTGTGCACAGGCCATACCTTCATGTAAACTTCCTGGTATAAACAATATACATAAGGATTGAGGAAGATTTTAAACATTCCGAGGCTTGTTTTTCATCGTTTACTTTTCCCAATATCTGAAAAACCTTTCCAAACTTCAACAAGAGTTATCGATATAGTTACTCACCTTTTTTCAGATGTTGAATGTGCGTCTGTAAACATTGGAGCTTTACGTATCCTCCTCTTTTATCGGTTACAATCTGGTATAAATCGAAACGTAGCTATGAGCTATGTAATTCTAAGTGACAATATCAAAGTCAAAGTAGTGACATAAGTAATCTACATGATTAGCTAGTAGTTACTTTTGTGTTTGATCTGGATAAGATAAAGGAAGTGCAATTAAACTTAGCTTTTATAAATTGGGTAGGTTTGCTTCTAGTATCTGTATAATTAGACAACACCAGGTATATAAGGGTCAAGTTCCTTTACCATATGCTTTAGTTACTTTGTTCTCAAGAATCTTTAGGTATTCTTTAGATTAACTGTGAATTCGTCAAAGGAGTGTACATAGGTATATAAAGTACCTGATTTCTTGTTTTAGATCTGAGTTCTTGTCCGCCACCTTTAATACAAATAATCTTGTTTACTTAAGGACCAAGTGTTTTCTATGTTTAATCATAACGTACAACGTGGCGGAATCCTTCAATAATTATGGTGATTATAGTATTTATGTCTGTAGTGTCATAGAAAGTAGAGAAATTTCTCATCATCAACCTAGAATTAGTTATGATACTCGTTTGAAGTAGTAGTTTTATCTTGTTGAATAATATAGACAAATATACCACAGCCTGCATAGCACACGCTTAATAGCACATCAATTTTCGATTCGAAAATATTGAGGTAAAATAAGCGTTAGAAAGTAGGACAGAAAAATAACTACATAAATATACATTAAGAGTAAATACAAGCGAAGTTCTTCAAGGTCATAATGCGTATATCGAAATGAAATATTATTTGTCAAATGTACATAATAAATTTTAGTGATAAAAATTCCGTTAAATACTTAGAATCACGATTTATGACTCGATGTCTAGGGATTTCCGGCGGATTTCCGTCTCCTAGGGTAGGACCTTTTGAACAAGAGCGCAGCTAACACTTAAAAAACTTCCCATAAAAAAGCTGTGCGTGACTGGCCTCAAGCAGTTGTCCCTTGGGTTGTGCGGTCACTCACCCACGTCACTGAGATCAATACTAATCTACCTTCTTTTTCATGTTCCCCAAGAAACACCCTTCTACGGTATGGGCAGCCGGGAAGTGACATCCACCTTCGTAACCGTAACAGCACGCGAGACCAAATTTGTCACAATCACATCCTTCCCACACCCCCACATCTAACCCCTCATATCCCGCACCGCTGATGCAAACAAAGAGGGTTCACAAAACGTTATTCCTGGCCTCCTGAAACCCCATTCTCAATTACATGTTGGAGCTTTTATTGTCCGAACCTTGTGTCAAATAGGGTAACAGGCTTCGTTAACTAGGACTCTGGAATCGCGTGCCATGGATGTATTCTTTGTCTCTGAAACGCGCATACAAAATCCAAGCAAAATCATAAATTTGATTCCACCTTGTCCAGATCGAGAATCAACTCGGTTTATGCCTCGTGTATCTAGAAGCCCTGCTGCTGCTTCCCCTGACCTCGCTGGTGTAGGTGTAGTACTAAGTCCTAGGGAGAAACTAGTTCTCTTATACTTGATTCCGGTAGACCGTCGTTTATTCGCTGTCCGACTAAACGGGACAGCAAGGACTTGGAAAGATATAGAAAAGACTGGGTCATTGGTAAACCTCAAGGCTAGGAAGAAGCTGTGAATCTCAGTAGCATCCACCGAACTGATAGACACTCGTAAACTCATCCCGCCTGGCTGTGAACACGATGAGGAGCGAAGTCAGCTTAGGCGCGCAGGCTGATGAAAAGCCTACGCAATGATCGCGAACAGCAGTCGGCAGCGAAATAAGAGTGATGGAAAAAACAGCGATGATAGGTAACAGTAGACAACTGCTCCGCCTTATCAAGGGAACTGGTATGAGTAATCCAAATTTTAGCGAAACTATCTCAGAAAGGGATGGTCGTATTAATCATTATCTACGCAGAAGATAAAATCGACGGGTAAAACAAGATGAAATCAAATTTATGATTTTGCTTGGATTTTGTATGCGCGTTTCGGAGACACAGCATACATCCATGGCACGGGATTCCAGAGTCCTAGTTAACGAAGCCTGTTGCTCTATTTGACAGACGGTTCGAACAATAAAAGCTCCAACATGTACTTTAGAATGGGGTTTCAGGATACCGGGAATAACGTTTTGTGAACCCTCTTTGTTTGCATCAGCGGCGCAAGGTGACAAACAATCGACAAAGAGTTGGTCCTGGGGATATTAGAGTTATTATGTGTAAAAATGATTAGATTGTGCTTGATTAGATCTCGTGTCATTTTACTGGTTAAACTTCTTGAATCATATCTCTGAACCGTAATCTTCTTCATTATCGCTAATACTTCTACTGTTTGTAATACTGTGGGATTTGAACTGACAATTTTACGTCCCTCGTCTTCTGTGGTATGGCGACCTGAACTTACATATGTGCGTACGAAGTTCTGCGTTGTAGTTGACTGACTGACTAATATTAATCTGTAATATAAAACCTGTAGGTTAACCCATTTTTGTGGATGTTCAGTTATTCATATTTTATATTTTTCCGATTTACTGAATGAAATCAAGAAATTTTCAAACCCATCTCTTTTTTATGTTTATCTACTGTGCAGTATCAGTCAGTCAGTTGCAACGTAGAACTTCTTGTGTATGTACATAAGTTCATGTTGCCATACCATCACATTAGCACAGAGACGCAAATGTCAAATCAAATCCCATAGTGATAAAGATAGTAGAGGTATTAATGTTAATAAAGAAGACTAGGGTTCGAAGATATTATTCAAGAAATATAATTCAGTGAGATAAGGTTAGAAAGACAAAGGTAAAGGTGCTGACGAATCCAGAAGATTAGGATTTGAGAGAACACAAAGAGTGGATGCACCTGCGCCATTGCAAACGATTTTGAGCCATGTCGTTCAAGGTCTCTAACTGTGCAGTATACTATCCCTACAATTAACAAACAGTATCACTAATTTTTTATACGAGATTTGATCTAAAGTTAAACCCAGTTCGTATTTGACACATTAAACTACATAAAAACCTAAGTGAATTATACTTTACTAAACATTCTTTTTGTATTAATGAGTTTTCATATTTTACTTGTTCTGTTTACAATTTCTTTTAGAATGCACCTGATTATTGTGCATCAGTTGTTCTGATTGCAAATGATACTAATTTCAATTCATTAATATGTAAGTACCTATTCCTTTTTTTCAATGAATTGATTCTTGTTTTCATCGCATATCATCAGCTGGATATGATATAACATTATTGAAATTCTCAGCAGAATGGTGTTATTATAGCCAGCTGTTAGCACCAATATTTGAACAAGCCTCGGAAAAGGTTACCGAATTGACAAAAGTAGGTTTCTTATGAAGAATTTATTAAAATTTCTATTTATTATTTAGAGTGGTAAAGTTGCTTTCATCTCGATCGATTGTGAAAGTAATCGTAAGTTGCATAATTATTTTCCTTTCTTAAATACGCATATAGAAAACTTTTGATTACTGTGTAAGTGTGAAAAATAGCCTGTAAGCGTAAGAAAAATATCCATAGACTATAATTATGAAATCATAGGATTGTAAGAAGTACCATTTGCATATGATGACGATAATCGATGGTTTAGAAACCCTGAGTGACTTGGCTCAAAACCGTTTGCAATGGCGCTGGTGCATTTATTCCAGCCTTCTGAATTAATCATCACCTCTATCTTTCTGTTTCTAAATTCACCTCATTGAATTATGTTTCTTGTTGTAACGCTGCTACGTATAGAACTATTCAGTCCTAGCGGCGTCCAATTCAAATATCCCAATACGACCCAAAATGCTATTTCCAAATCTCCTAGATATCAGAACGCAACACCGTGGGATGGAGTTGTTTATTGGGTTGAGTACAAAAGAGAGGTAGGCAGGATAAACGGAATCGGGATCCGAATCGTGAAGGCTTACAGATAGTGCGTATTTATACATTAAGGTCGAATAGGAAAGAGCATCAAAGTCTGTGACATTGGCAGTTTAGGACGACCAATAGGAAAGAACACTTGAAGTGACATTGACAGACCGGATGACTTTGACAGTTAAAACGACCATAATTTTGACCAATAGAATTCGACCAATAGGTTTATACTTCCAAAAATAGTACTCTTAGGATATTTCGTGAATATCCTAACAGTTCTTGAATAATATCTCCTAACCTTAATCTCTCCGATTACTGCTAATAATTCTACTACCTTTACTACTATGGGATTTGAATTGATAATTACATCTCTGTGCTAATGTGGTGGTATGGCAACTTGAATTGATGTACTTACGTACGAAGTTCTACGTTGCTATTGATGATGACGATGATGATAAAGTCTCTTGATTTATTCTGCTCATTACATGAATTATTTTCAATTCCATTAACACGTTAACCTCATTAGTTCTCTTCTTAAAAGTAACAAATTTCATTGCGTAAAATCATGTTTCGTGACAATGTTTACAGAAAAGTTAATGCTTAAACTACATACTGTTTGTAGAGTTTTCAAAACTAATACTGTAGTGAAGGAGAACACAGTTGAGGGCAACCGAATTGTATTTATCGCAAATTACAGAGTTACTCAGTAAAATAGGAAAACCATATCGTCAACGGTTAATTTGCAAATCTTCAATCCATCATCAATCCATTGTCTGACATTTCACTTATTCATGCATTTCATAGAAAAATTTCATTGTGTTCCCACTCTTCCTTTCTTGATCTTCCCCCCCATCTGCTGCCAGACATTACGCCTTCACTCGCGTCATATACTACTTATAAGTAGCGCGCACCACACTATCACCTTAACAGTAGTATTCTTAGTTATCATTGAATAAAAATAATGTATAATGTTAAAAATTTAAATAATCATCAATGATGTGTTTCTAACCCTCTTTCTAACCTCTTCTCTCTCCGTTTTTTTTTTGAAACCTCAGAAGATATATGCACTAAAGAATATATTCGTAAATATCCTACAATAAAAATTACAAAATATGGGAAAATGTTAAAAAGTGAATATCGTAATGAAAGAAGTGTGGAAGCATTTGTGAATTTTGTACAAGATCATTTAAAGTTTCCAGTTGATATTGTCGATGGTAATCAATCTACACCGGATAAAATTGTCAATGTAAGTATTGATAGAATTACTATTGCTGTTTTTAATTGCCTATGTCTGTGCATTAACTGAGAGTTTTGTCATTAAGAAACGCATTGAATCATCAAAATTGCATCAATCGGTAATAATTTTGATAAATGTTTCAAGGTTTTCATAAGCTCTACAGTTAATCTGTTATCAAATAACCCAACGTCAGTGGTAATCTCAAAACAAATTATTTTATCTTACATTTCTCCAAATGCTCTGGTACAGCCGAGAGTGGGAGAGTCTGCTCTCCCTCTCGAAATGACTTCATAAGGCCCATGCATACATAGCCTGTGCTAGAGAATTCCTACTCATTGCCTTCTCGTGGCGGGGCTGTTGTTTACATATTTGACAGGACTTGAAGTAAATGATCGGCCAGGGCTTAAACCTGGGTACTGGTGGGTACTGGTTCATCTAAAAGAGTTGGAATACCCTAATTCTTAACCAATGGTGCACATGGGCTCCAGGATCCTAACGTAATGAATGATATATAAACCCACTGTTGGTCACTGGCTACCATAGGACTGCATCTTCTCATGTAACTCTCCTGAGTTGTGGATTAGATTTTTGGATTAAAGGCTCAGGGAGTAGCCTCCTAAGAAAACCACCTGCTTCGATGTGAGCATTCGGACAAGTATCCTAACCCACTCACAAATTCATTCATTTATGTGATGCACAAATATTTAGTTATCCCGTTTGTACTAATGTTGATGTGTTTAAATAAAATAAAATTATCAGCCTTTAGCTTTACAAGCTCCAGTCGTATGTGGTGTTTAGTCCTCTGAACAATTTTGATCTGAATTTCACTCCAACCAACCAGTGATGCTGACAGACAGTTCATCTGTTTTTTTATTGTTATTTATTCGTTCTTAAAATGTTTTGGACAGAAAAAAACATCTAGTTCTATGCTAAAAATCTAAACACTTTTAAAAAGTATCCCCGGCATTCGTAATAATAAATACGTTGAAAGCGATTGTCACAAGACGTGTTGACTGTACCTAGTTTGGGAATATAGTATTGACGGAGTTCGACAACCCAGTGGACAGGGAGGAGGCGCCGCAGAGGTTCCGGTTGGCGAGGCTGTCGGCTGATGGTGACCCGTTGGCGCTGGCTGTGGAGCTCACGATGTTGCCGCGCCGTACGCTGCCGATTATGGGTGGGGAGTCGGGGGGCACAGTTGTTGGCGTCGCAATTTATCGAGAGTGTGCCTGCCGCCGTATCCCAGCAGCGGGAACTAGTAAACGCTACACGTTGGATAGATGCCGTACCCATTCCAGACCAGCGGGCAAGAATAATGACCGAAGTAGTAATCCGATTGCCCCACCTGTGTTCTCGTTCACTACAGTATTTGTTTTATAATTTTCCTACCTGAATCGGAGATTGATAACGAATCAGCAAGAATCTAACCTGATTATCAGATTCTAAGTGGATTGATAGAGAGAGAGAGTAATATACACCAGGGATAAACTATTCTTTCTAAGTATGTCGGCATTTTGAATAATTAGTTTATCTAGATAGACTAGCACAATCATTAGTTTTTGAAAACGCATCCATTCACAACAAAGCATATATCCAAAAAGGTGAACTTAAGCGCATAGTTGAGTTTTGCGTTTACTTCTCGTGGGTTTATGATACTTTCCAATTATTATCACTGTTATAATGACTCTAAGTAGCTATTGAAATCCTACCGACGTTCAAATTCAGATATTCTAATACGACCCCAATACTGTTCCCAAATCTCATATGTATCAGAACTCAACACCGTTAGATGAAGTTGTTTATGAGGTCGAGTACAGTAGAGATGAAAGAAGGAAGGAATGGAATCAAAAGTCTTACAGATAATGCGTATTTATGCACATTTAGGTCGAATAGGAAAGAGTATCGAAGTCAATGACATTGACAGTTAAGACCACCAATAAGAAACAACATTGTAGTACATGACATTGATATCTAGGACGACTATAAAATTGACCAGTAAGAATTAACCAATCGGAATTGACCAATTATTCTCTTAGGATATTGGATGATTATCCTAATAATCACACAATTATAAATTTGAAAAATCTTAGTTTAAAAGATTCTAATTTTAATACTACAGTTTGCATACAATGAATACCGATTAAACAACTTAGGTTTGGACAACATTAAGTTACTTAACCTAATAAGTGGTGGGTGGGTGGTTGAATTAATATCAACCATAATCAATGAAAAACTGAACACATATCTACATCAGTCCAAGCTGTCATTACCAAGTAGAAGTATTAACAGTAACAGCGGTATTTAGAAAGATCAATAATGGAACAGTGTTTAATCCTCTGTTAAATCGGATCAAAGTTTTCTAAGGACAAAACTTAGTTAAACAAAGTCTTCCCATTGATTTTGAATCATTTTACTTAGTAGGTTGTTCTTTGCTAATGCCTATACATAATCTAGAATAAACTATTAAACTGACTGGTTAAAGTATTCATTTATAGGGCTGGAACCCTAGTGTATACCTACTTTTGTGTGGGTTATGTAACAGGTATCGTTCTAACCTCCAATTACTTTGATATAAGCGATCTTAGAGAGAGTTCGCTTTCTCTTTTGAAATGTTCTAGTAAAGTCAATGACTTATAGCCTATGGTAGGAAAATTCTACTCACTAACTTTGAAGTGTTCTTTACAAAAGTGCGAAGATGAAAAGTGAATATCTAGCGCTTAGACTGGGTTTGTAGATTCGAAGTGTCTATCTGAGGGAGTTGGAAAGCCCTAATTTCAAACCAATCGTGTCCATAGATTACAGGATCCTGAGGGGCTCAAATAGCTCATAAAACTATTTTCGGTATTCGACTAGCATAGGATTGTACTCTCATGACATTTTACTGCTTTGTAAATTAGAATTTTAAGTGAAGAACTCAATTAGTGTCCCTCTAAGAAAACTACCGATTTCGATTTGGACACTCGGGTTGCATCCCAGCTCATAAATAAACTTATTTTCTATAGCTCATGCTACTTATGTTGTTCAGTTATACTAAATTCTATCTGGATTAAACAAATAAAGAAATAGAAAACATCTACTTGATTTGTGGTGTGAGCTACTTATAAGTAGTATATGACGTGAGCGTCAACGCGTAATGTCTGGCAGCAGAAGATGGGGGAAGATCAAGAGAAAGGAAGAGTTAGAAGAACACAATGGAATTTTTAATGAAATGCATGAATAGTGACAATGGATTGCTGATGTTTTGCAACAGGAACAGTCCAGTTCGATATGATGATGGACTGATATTTTGCAAATGAACAATTTACGATATGGTTTTCCTATTTTACTACTGAGTAACTCTGTAATTTTCGTTAAATACAATTCGGTCGCCCCCCACCTGTGTTCTCCTTCATTACAGATTTACTAAATTATATTTATTTATTATTTGATTTTTAAATTGTAAATCTACACATCTTATAACAATTCTCATCAATAAGTCATGATCACATATCTACCTTCCTTTTTGTGTTGTTGTTATTGTTGTTTTGTAGAGTTGGATAAATAAAAGTGTTGATACAAAATGTATATTGGCTTTAGTTAAAAATCTGAATGCTCCTAATACTCATATGAATATATTCAAAAAAGTCGCTGCTATTGAACAAAACTCATGTAAATTTTACATATATCATAAGTAAGTATTTCATTGATTGTGACATTCATTTCTCTATTGCTCACAAGTGTATATATACCAATTTTCATTAGCAATTTTAATTAAATTAAAGTTTATTGGACATTGAATACGATTGTATTTAATATTTCAAAATTGTTTTTAGTTGTTATTATTATTATTCTTAATTTAGTCAGTATATGTCTGCTCCAAATCGTTCGCAATGACGCCGGTGCATTTGTGTTCTTTGTGTTCTCTCAAATCCCAACCTTCTGGATTCTCCAATCCCTCTAGTTTTGACTTTCTAAACTTTTCTCACACTGAATCATACTTCTTGATTAATATCTTCTAATCGTAACCTCTCCGATTACTTCTAGTACCTTTAGTACCTCTTCTACTATTGGATTTGAATTGACAATTACATCTCTGTGTGCTAATGTGGTATGGCAACATGAACTGATGTACGTACGAACGTACGAAGTTCAACGTTGCATCTGACTGACTGTATGTTCTCGTTGATAATGCTGAGGACTTCAATTTATACCCGTTGCATGATCTAGTGGTTATGTGAACTCATTAGGTAAGCGGATATTGTCATAAAAGTTTGAAGCAAAAAGGTACTGTATTCAAGTCACCGGTGTGATTATCGCCTGACGAACTTTGAGCAGTATGAAGGCTTAGATCCTGGATTCTAGTGTTTCCCCGCTTTTCAACTGTAATAAAATCTTGATTTAAGATTCGTAAAGTATATGTAGTCTGTCATTAAAAACTAAGTAATATAACTTGGAAGAAAGTTAGGGGCGGCCAGACCAAAACATGGCACAAATCCATGAAGTCATTGACGAGTGGACTGAGCCATGTCAGTAATTGTCGACTACCTGGTTGGGGTCCACGAGATGATCATAATCGATGGTTAGAGACCTTGAATGACATGGCTCAAAATCTAATTTAATATAAAACACGTGAAAATAATTGAAGACTAGATTTTCTGGAGCTAAAATTGATTGTAATTAGGTTATCACATGGCTCAAAATCGTTCGCAATGGCGCCGGTGCATTTGTGTTCTTTGTGTTCTCTCAAATCCTAATCTTCTGGATTCTTCAACTTTGTCAACTTTTCCCACTGAATTATACTTCTTGAATAATATCTTGTAATCCTAACCTCTCCGATTACTTCTAATATCTTTCCTACCTCTTCTACTATTGGATTTGAATTGACAATTATATCTCTGTGCTGATGTGGTATGGCTGTGGTATGAACTGATGTACTTACGTACGAAGTTCTACATTGTAACTGACTGACTGACTGAATATAACTTAACTATTAGTTGCTCTGGCATAAAAGTACCCACTTTATATCTTTCTCAAATTATTCATGTAGAATATATTTTTTTAAATTTCCCTCTTCACTAATTTATTGATTTTGTTGTTCACTGTTGCTTTGTTTATTTCGTCACTGTTCTTGTGATAATTACTTCCATGTCTTGGGTGTGTTATTTGACTATGACCAATTCGGTCTCGTGCGCTGTTTGTTACTGGTGTATGCGGGCGGATATCACTTCACTTGGATTATATACTCCGTGAATAATAATATCTTCGGACTGTAATTTTTCCGATTACTGTGCATGCTTTTACTACATCTACTATGATAGGGTTTGAATTGACAATTACGTCTCTGTGGTGGTCACCTAATTACAATCAATTTTTAGCTCTAGAAAATCTGGCCTTCAATTATTTTTACTATTGAACATGTGTTTTCTATTAAATTTAGATATTAGTTGTATTTGATGTAGCGGTGATTCAGAGTTTAAGTTATTCAACTTTCAAACACTAGCAGTCGCCACATAAAGTTGTGTCTCAAAGTTGAGAACACAACTCTGTATTTGATGAGTTTCATTTTACTGTGATTCCGATCACACTATTTCTTATAAGTTTATAATAGCACTGGATTATTGATAGATTCATATTGTCTAAACGAGGTCCTGGAACACAGACACACATTTAGGCATCCTACAATAGTTGTCTTCCTGGACCTTAAGGCGGCATTCGACTCTGTGGATCGTGAGGTTCTGTGGCAGTGTTTGTCATTGAAAGGTGTACCAAAGAAGTACATTAACCTTATACAAGCTCTCTACTCGAACACCACTGGTCGAGTGAGGGCTTATGGCGAACTGTCAACGGAATTCTTTACTTCAAGTGGTGTCCGTCAGGGATGTCCACTCTCTCTATTCTTGTTTAATTTTATCATAGACATGCTCCTAGAAATAACCTTATCCTCGTCTGAATTTTCTGGAGTAGACCTTTTCCCAGGTGGCTCGCTTATTGACTTAGAATATGCGGATGACATAGTCCTACTTGGTGAAGACGCTGACGAAATGCAGTCTTCTGACCACCCTAAGCAACAATGCAAACATGTTCGGGATGCGGTTCTCGCCCTCGAAATGCAAAATGTTGCTTCAAGATTGGGTGAAGTGGTCGAGCGTGTTGACCGCTTCACTTATCTGAGGAGTCTCATCATTGCTGATGGCCTGGTGACTGACGAAATCTCAGCTCGGATACAGAAGGCTCGATTAGCTTCTGCCAACCTGCGTCACTTATGGCGTAGGCGAGATATCCGTTTGCTGACTAAAGGACGAGTGTTCTGTGCAGTAGTTCGCTCCGTCTTACTTTATGGCTGTGAAACATAGCCAGTGAGAGTAGAAGATATTCGTAGGTTACTGGTTTTCGATCATAGGTGTCTTCGAAGCATTTCTCGTATATCTTGGGACACCCGAGTGAGCAACGCTGTTATTAGGAAACGGGTGCTAGGTAAGAATAGCAGATCAATAGATGAAATAATGAAACTTCATCAGTTGAGGTGGTTAGGACATGTGTTGCGTATGCCTAACCACCGACTGCCTCGACGAGCTTTGTTTTTTAGTGTAGAAATAGGCTGGAAGAAAGCTAGGGGTGGCCAAACCGAAACATGGCAGAAATCCATGAAGTCACTGACGACTGGACTGAGTCATGCCGATAGATGTCGACTACCTGGTTGGGGTCCGCGAGATGATAATAATCGATGGTTAGGGACCTTGAATGACATGGCTCAAAATCGTTCGCAATGGCGCCGGTGCATTTATTCTTTGTGTTCTCTCAAACCCTAATCTTCTGGATTATTCAACACCTCTAGTTTCGACTCTCTAAACTTTTCTCACTGAATCATACTTCTTGAATAATATCTTCTAATACTAACCTCTCCGATTACTTCTAATTCCCTTACTACCTCTACTACTATTGGATTTGAATTGACAATTATATCTCCGTGCTGATGTGGTATGGCAACATGAACTGATGTACTTACGTACGAAGTTCTACGTTGCATCTGACTGACTGACTGACTAAAAGGAGAGTAGAGCAGTTCGACACATCTCTTTGATTTTTACTCCTGGTCTCTAGCTGTTCGTGGTGAAAGTTAGTAATGGATAGTTTGTTGATGGTTTGCAAGATCGTCTATAATATCACTGCTGAAAATTACATCATCTTTTTATTTTCATTTCACTAAAATTCCACCATAACTGCAAACTTCTTAGTGTGTAATATTTTCTCTAATATTACTTCATGATCTGTAACAAATTGTGTACATCGACAAGTTTTTTTCAGTAGTTTCTCCTTCTTTCAAAATATTGTTATTGCTACTTTTATGTATGCATAGTTTACAAATGTTTACAGTGTTATTCGTCCATATATATATTTAGTTTACATTAATAAGACTTACTGTTATTGTTCGAAATCTCGTTCATTAAATGTACAGTCTATCACGACTTTTGGTGAATGAAAAGTACGGAGTTTTAAGAGAAATGTTGACAAGTATCTGAAATTGCATATTGGTACTGTAAATGTGAACGTAGGTCTACTAATAGTGATATTGTTGCTACTACTAACACCTTGGCGCTTGTATTGATAATTTCATCTCACAGTGCTAACAAGGTGTGTCATGTGTGTACCAAGTTCTGCTTTTACTTACTTATACCTATTACCCTTTGTGGGGCATAGACCATTGTACAATGCGTATCCTATCCATCATTAACGGTTTTTCTTAATTTCCTCGGCTGGCAGCTTGTTTGTTCTCTGCCACACAAGGTTATCACTGATGGTATCTGACAAACAGATCTAGCGTATGTTGTGTAGACAACTGTTTTTATATACCTGTATATTTTTGGAGATAGTTTTTAGTAGATCTGCCAGTTTCAGTTCCATATGATAGGAGTGTGTTGACGTTTGTAATAAAAATTGTGACTTCGGTGTTGGTTGACAATTATTTCGATGCCTACTTTTGTGGTGTGTTCAACTACACTGTCTGTCCTAACATGCACTTGTTTCTGTGTGTGGGATAGAAGGGTAAGGTTATGTGTGAAGTGCAAATCGTGTAGCTGCATTCAAGTTTCCCACTGTACTCCATAATTTTTATAATCAATTCAGCCAGTGAAAGAGAGAAAAGGCATAATCAGAGTTCATTGATTTTTACTCATCCCAACCACACATTGCTCTCAACAAACGAGCATAGATAACTCTGTAAACTAAATGGGGAATGGGAATTCATATCTATATGTATACCGTCGAGACCCTGATATAAAGCATATTGTTTGGATCTTGTGACTAGAACAGAGTGAAGTTTTATTATTTTTCGGTTGCTTTGTTAGGATATTCACCAAATATATCCTAAGAGTACTATTTTTAAAAGTGTAATCTCATTGGTCGATTTCGATTGGTCAAAATTATGATCGTTTTATCTGTCAAAGTCAAATACTTCAATGTTGTCTCTTATTGATCATCCGGACTGTCAATGTCATTTCAAATGTTCTTTCCTATTGGTCGTCCTAAACTGCCAATGTCACAGACTTTGATGCTCTTTCCTATTCGACCTTAATGTATAAATACGCACTATCTGTAAGCCTTCATGATTCGGATTCGGATTCTGTTTCTCCTGCCTACCTCTCTTCTGTTCTCGACGCAATAAACAACTCCATCCCACCGTGTTGAGTTCTG